ACTTTCCAGGGGAGTACACTGCTGTTCAGGGAGGTTAGGTGTTTGCCAAAGGTCAAGGGGCAGAGCCTGGACTTAAACTCAGTTCTATGCCTGTGTTCATAGCTGCCATGCCATGCTGCCTCTCATTGTGAAGATTAGACTTAAATAACTGTAAAATACTGTACTACTAGTGCTTAAAGGGTAAGTGCTGCATAAGTCCAAGACGCCATTCATATCAATAATAAAGGCTGGTTGGATAACAAGCCAATAATAAGAAGTTGAAATTATAGACTAGTCAATGTAACAGAATTTTTAAAAATCATTTTAAGTACACAAAATGATAAAGCTTTTAATTTTTAAAGGGCTTTAAAACCAAACCAAATTCATTGCCATCGAGTTGATTCCAACTCATAGTGACCCTATAGGGCAGCGTAGAAGTGCCCCATAGAGTTTCCAAGGGGCACCTGGTAGATTTGAACTGCCGACCTTTTGGTTAGCAGCCGTAGCGCTTAACCACTACGCCACCAGGGTTTCTGTAAAGGGGTATAGAGTTTACATAATAATTTCACATTATTTTGTGAGTCTCACAGCAACTTTGTGAGACATTATTGTTCTCTTTTTATAGATGAGGCTACTGAGCTTAGAAAAGTTAAGCAACGTCCTAAAGATCACACAGCTGGTAAGTGGCAGAATTGACTTAAACCTTGATTTGCTATTTCAAAGGTCAGAGCTCTTTTCCTTTATACCACAAGTTCAAACAGTTATTTGGGGGACTAAATTCATAATTACTCTTCTTTTTTTATTGAGATAAAATTAACATAACATCAAAGTCACCATTCTAAAGTGAACAATTCAGTGATTTTTAGTATATATTCACAATGTTATGCAACCATCACGTTCTAATTCCAGAACATTTCCATCATCCCAAAAAGAAAACCATACCTGTTAGCAGTCTCTTTCCATTCCCTTCTCCCCTCACTCCCTGGCAACCACTATTTAACTTTCTGTCTGTATGGATTTGCCTATTCTGAGTATCTCATATAAATGGAATCATACAATTCATGACCTTTTGTCTGGCTTCTCCATATTGCATAATGTTTCAAGTTTTATCCATGTTGTAGTACTTCATTCCTGTTTTATGGCTGAATAATATTCCATTGTATCAATATAACACTTTTGTTTATCCATTTGTCGTTTAATGGACATGTGCGTTGTTTCCACTTTTTAGCTTATGAATAATGCTGCTATAAACAGTCATGTACAAGTTTTTTTGTGAACATATATTTTTAATTATCCTGAGTTAAGAAAATCAACTACCTTCCACCTGGGAGTGGAATTGCTTATAATTATTTCTGTAAGATAATTCAAATGAAAATTCTTTGAAATAGTTTCTTTTCAGTTATTTGTTCAGCACTCCTCCAAACACACACATCCATACAGCTTTGTTTATTTAGCTGGTTTGTTTCCCAGATCTTTTCTTCAGATTCTGGGCAAGTAATCTTTAATTCCAAGTGAATAATCTGAGTTCAACACTGCCTACCACATTCAAGGCACTGTGGAGAACAAACGAGTAAGATTGTTACCACTAACCATATTCAATTGATGGAATTAAGAAATGTCCATCAAATGTCCTTTAAAAGCTTTTAAAGGTCCTTTAAAAGCAAGGCAAAATGGAATCATGCTATCAAGAAGTTATCAAGCACTTTCTACACACAAAAAAAGAAAAGATTGCTAGGGAGATGGGGTAAATTGGAGATAGAATTTGAGCTGAGTCTTGCATGCTGGGTAGCTTTTCAAGAAGTAATGGTGAGAGATAACCAGTACTTCTTTTTAGCCTAGTTCAGATATTGTGAACAAAGTGTAGGATGCTTAGGGATAGTGACAAGTACTTTGGTTTAGCTCAAAGTCCCTTGCATCATATACCAAGAGGTTTGAACTTTGAACAGTAGATACTAGGGAGCCATTTAAGGTATTTGAGTAGAAGAGACTGATACTATCAGAGCCCTTAAAAGATGTTTCCATCAGCAGTTTGTAGAGTGGCTTAAAGAAAGAAAGAGAATGGGAATGAGAACTTGGACTTATAATGAGGTCTGGAACTAGGACAACCTCAATGGAAAACAAGAAAAGCAGCTTGTGAGAAATTTATTGAGGGCATTAGCAGCTTGGGAGAGAGAGCTGAAAACAAGGAGTGCATCAGATAAATAAAAGAAGTGTAGAGAAGAGAAGAGACCCAGTAGGGACTCTGTATTAAGAGGTGAGAGACAGAAGATGAGCCAGCGGAGGTGAGTTGGAAAGCAAGTCTTAGACAAGACAGCACCACACACACCAAGAAACAAGAAGAGCCTTATGAGGAAATACCTCATACAGGTCGTGGAAGGGGCTGTGACCTGAGAAGAATCCTATTGGATTTGGGGAGTAGGAGGTTGTAGCGAGTGACCTGAAGGAAGAATTCATTTGAGTGGTTTGAATGACTGCTAGATATGAAATGAGAAGTTAGTAGGATACAGAATTAAGAGGTCATTGTTATTATTGTTGGAGGAGGTGGTTAATCTGAAAAAGGAAGATTGATGGATGAAGGTGATTTAGTGTACAGAGAAATTTTAAAATGGAATCGAGAAATATTGAGGATGCGTGCATTGAATGGCCTCAATCTCAGTAAAGTAGAATTTATAGTATTGTTGCTTATTAGTAGCACTACAGCTAGACTGCTTAGAATTAGAAAATATCTTGAGTTACCTCAGGTAAGATCAAACTCTGTCTTCCTATCCTATATAAATGTTTAATCTTTTAGCTATGTATTGACCATTTATTTGCCTATGCTCTTAAATGCATTCCCCCCACAAAAGCATAGCTACATGATGTAATAATGTACAGTTGTAACTGTCGAGTCCATTTTTCTGCTAATTAGTCAAGCTGTGTATTTTTGAGTACTAATAATAGTGGGAACTGAAGTACATATAGTGTTTTGTTTAAAAGTTAGTTCATAATCTTTAGTTTGAAATTTTATAACTGTTTTATTCTTTCTAAAACATGCCCCAAACTAATATTATTGTATTTTCTATAGAGTAGAAATATGTTCATAATCTGTTATTTCAGGCACTGTGCTGACATTTTAATCTGCACAATATTTCATTTAGTAAAAAGTAATGAATATATGTCACATTGACATTGTGAATTCCGTTTTAAAATGTTGAAAAATTGGTTCCTTGTTTGTTGTCAAGTTGGGAGTTCCCAAAAAGAAGACTGGTTTGTTAAATGAGTAAATCAGGAAGTAATGAGTATATCAGTCAAGACCTCCTTCATTCCTTTAACCCTTTCTCCTCTTCCCCACAAAACAATGGGAAGTCCCCAACCCAAGATAGATCTTCTTAAATAATTTTAAGCAACTTTACAAGTAATACATACTTTTCGCTTGAAAAACTAGAAAATACAGATGAGAAATTAGAAGAAAATAAAAATTATCTTCTATACTCAGATATAACTGTTAGTGTTTTGACAAATAACTTCCCAAACATTTTTCCTGTGTCTATTTTTAAAAGAATTTTTACATAGTGTAGTTAGGGTTATAAGCAGCTTTTTTATGTAACACTGTATCATTATACCATATCAATAAACATACATCTTTCTATCTTTAAATATACTTCTACCACATTACTTTCAAGACTGCACTGTTGTATAGATATACAAGGTGAATTCCTTTTCTTAGTCTTTACTCTTACAGAATGGTTTAAATAGTTTCTTAGTTATTCTTTCAATCTCCAATACAACTCTCGGTTTCTTTCCAGTTATAGAAGATTCTACAGCAGATAGACCCTAGGAAGTTGGTTTCCAGGAACACTTTAATTTTTCTTCACATGGGTGGATGAATAACATTATCATACTGTATGCCCTGACAAAGGTTCTCATTGCTTGAGAATATGCCCCCACCCCCTGCTTTTTCCATCCACCAGAAATACAAGCTAGTATCTTACAGCTCTATTGACCCAACAAGGGCTTGAAAGGATACACAGTTATCTCCCAAAACACATGGCTCGTTCCTTGGCCTCCATCTGCTCCAGCGGAGCTCCATCTACCCGCCTTTCTAGACTGTCACCACTTTCCTTCCTCTTACATTCCTGCCTATTCAAGATTTTTTTGGTTCAAGTTTTACATCCAGACCTCTTAGTTATGAGCCCTTCAGGATCATTAAGAAAGGAGAGATGTTGGATTTGTCCAAAGTAACCAACCACTACAATATTTCTTTTCTATTTCTCTAAGGTCTGTATTTCAGCCTCCTTAATTTATTCTATTTTGTATTACACTTTAAACATTTGTCTTTATTTAAGTCTAAAAAATAGATCATTCATTCTCATTAAACATTTTACTTCAAATTTATATCACTACAATAAAAATGAGTGCAAGTTTATAAGCTGTTTCCAAAAAGTAGACATGGTTCAGTAGGGTTTGTTTTTAACATTTTATTTAATGATTGGGTGATTGAGTATAGCTTATGAAATATGCTAGTGATCCCAAACTGGCTAGCACCTTAGAAAAACAGATTAAAGTTCTAATTATCATTGACAAAGTGAAGGAGTGCATGGGAATTAACAAGAGGAGGTTGACTGAGGAGGTATGCTGATGATTCCATTAAATAAAGTTTAAATATAACAGCGTGCTCCAAACTGAAAAAGCATGGAGGAAAGAGAAATAAGTAGCGTTGAGTATGGGACACTAAAGTACTATTATCATTTAAATAGCCATAATACTATTAATAGTATTGCTGATATACTTTGAAGTTAAACAGGAGCATTATTTTTTAGGGTAAATCTTATTTTTGCAAAAAATTCTGTACATATCACGTATTATGTGTGTGTATGTGACCGCGCGAGAGAGAGCCTTGCTAGTAATAAAAAACAGAAGACTGATATCAAAAAGTTCTAATTGCCACATATTGTTCATGTTATTGAACATGCTGTAAAGTGGTAGTGCTGACACAAGGAGCTTTGGTGGCACAATGATTAAGCATTCAGCTGCTAACCAAAAGGTCTGAGGTTCAAGCCCACCAGTGGCACTGCTGGAGGAAAGACCTGGCGATCTACTCCTGTAAAGATTACAGCCTAGGAAACCCTGTGGAGCAGTTCTACTCTGTCATATAGGGTCTCTGTGAGTTGAAATCGACTCGACAGCACACAACAGTGCTAATACCGCATTAGTGGGATTTCCATCACTGTCAAAATATGAATAGGTATGGTTGACGTGAACACTGTTTCTCCCTTGTGAGCCAGGTAAGATAGATGAATGTGTTAGAATGTGGTATTCTGTGTGTATTAACAGAGATTTATACCTGCACTTTTATATAACAACTGAACAAATCAACTATGAATTGCCTTATCTAGTGGATTTTATTTACTATGATACCTGCTTCCACCTTCTTGTAAAAGAACCAAGAGCTTGACTTTTTTTATTTTGGCAAATCGGGAAAAAAATTAGGAATGTATGCAGGATAAAGGGCAATTGGTACCTTAGGGAATCCAGGAGTTAAAATGAGTGAAGTCAATATAAATAAGATAAATAGGATTAGAAGTTGGGCTGTTGTTAACATCCTAATTTTGTAAAGTCCATGAAGAGTTTTCTCATATCGTAGAGCTTGGAACAAATTAGTTCTAGAGAATTGTTGTAAGACACCAAGTTTAAAAGAAA